TTCTGAGCCTCTGCCCATGTGCCTGAAGGTGTTCAATGACAAACTGGGGCTCTCCAGGAGCTGCCTGCTTTCAGTACAACTCCCTGTGCAGGTGGAAGTGTAAAATGCTTGTAATTTCTCTTGCACACTGTTGTAAATGAGGAGTGACGTTATCCAGCTGCTCCTAAAATGGCAAATTCCCATGTTTTTACAATTGCCAGGTGTGAGCAATGGCAAGGAGGTTGACTGGATGGACTCCCAAGGGGAAGAGCAGCACCTTTGGCAGAAGATGATTGACAGTCCAGGAGCTGCAGTGGAAGGGGTGCTGATGCTGAGATCCAGCATGGGGAAACGCAGACTCTGAAGGACTTGAACTGCTGGGGAAAGCCACAGCTACGCCTGGCTGCAGGGGTGTCCAGGTTCCTGTCACTTGGCCCATTTGAACCTGAGAAGGGTTGCACCCTTTGCCTTGGATATTAAGGCTCTGAGTGAGACTTTAATGCATTCTGCACTTTCATGCACACATTCCTTACCCAGGCTTCTTGTGTGAATTGTTTCTCCTGAAGCCAGTGAGAGCAGGACCTTGCACTGAGATCAGCCTGGCTTTGTCTGTCCCCTCTGGTGGCTGTGTGCAGCTGCTGAGCATTCTACCTGAGGGCTGCTCAGACTGAGCAAACTCTCTTGTTGGTCATTTAGTGAGTGATGCCAGGTTTATGAATCTCCTTCTGGCTCAGGGATGGCCCCAAAGGCAGCAGTGGCACAGAACGAGCAGATTCAGAGTGAGTCTGTGCTTTGGTGTTTGTAAATTAAGAAGCCATAATGTTTTGAAAGACAACAAACAGTGTTTGTTCATGGTGTTTGCTTGTTGGGCTGTGCAGTGGTGCAGCACAACAGGCTTGGGACCAAAACCCAGCCAAGCAGGGCCAATTCAGTGCTGCACTGCCCTAGAACCAGGCAGCAGTGAGCTGGGGGGCAGTGCTGCTGTCCTGGCATCCTCTGTGTATTTTAATGCATTTGTATAAAAGGCAGACTTGGTTCAACGTAATCCAAGAGCCTCCAATGAAAATAAATCATAAAAAATCGTCAAACAGTTTCCAGAACTGCATGATGCTGCTGGTTTTCATTCAGTTGACAGCTCTAGCCAAGACCTTCTGATGTCATTGAACAGAGGGAATATGTCCACAAGCCAGTCCCCATCTGATGTGTTGCTGAGATGAGACTCGTGTCAGGTTTGGACGGAGTTAGCTAAAACTTGATTCAACACATTTTATAGAACAGAATGGGATTAAAGCACATGCCAAAATGATTTGCATAACTGTAAAATCTCCTCTGAATGGGCTGGGATCCCATTCAGGCCCATGCATATTATTTGTATTCCAAGCAGGACATTTTTTCTCCTGAACATCCCCCAGTGGATTTAATGATGAGTGGGTTTTGGCCAATACAATCATTAATCTTTTTAACTGTGACAATTGTTCAACAGTAATTTTGTGGTCCTCAAGGTGTAAGACAAAGGAAGATCAGGAAACTGAGTGAACAGCATTTCTTCTGAATTCTCCACAATTAGAACACAGCTTTCTATTTGCATTAGTAAATTGACCTATAACTATTCCTACATTTTTTTCCCACAAAAGTTTATTGCAAGAAATCTTGATTAAACAACAGAATATGTTCTGATAGCTAAGCAACTACAGCTGGAGATGCTGTCATCTGTAGTTGTCCTAGTGTGCAATTAAGTACATGTATTTAGAGCTGAACTCAAAAACTTAAAATGTAATGTTAATTCTTCTCGTTTTAAGATATTTTATGCTGTTTCTTGTTGGAGTGGCTGGAAACTGCAGGAAAGTTTACAGTCAGTCTTTTAAAATCATAATATTATTGGATTTTAAAACAGTATTTATTAATGTTGAAAACAGTAGTTTTAATAAAATTATTTGTTTCATTATGCATAAGTTATTTCAAAATTCTGATATGACTTTTAAAAGTCACTGGAGGTTTTGCTTGCCCAGTTGGAGACTCACCATTTTCAGAAATTACCAAGCCATCTTTGAAACTGAAAATTCTCCTACAGAATCTTAGATTGGGAACCAAACATCAGTGGTTACTCAAGCAAACTGACTTCATTTTCCTTCTTTATCTTTTCTTTATTTTTGTCTGAAGTTCAGCTGAAATTGGGCAGTGAGGGCAGTCTAGTTTGGTTTTAGCAGACTTTTAATTTTTCCAGCCTAAATGATTCTGTCATTCTACAAATGTGTGCTGTAGGCGCTGTGAGCTGATAAATTAGAGCACAAATATCAAGCACACAACATTTTATGACCTTGTTCTTATCACCATAGTCTGTCTTTAATATTAGACTATTTTTTTATCAGTATCTTCCAAAGTGACCAAACCTAACTTTTGACACCTTAACTACCTCTCTCTTTAACAGAATTGTTTTGAGTTCTCTTGGTTGTTTGTACTACAAACCTGAATTTATTTTGAGAATAATAATATTACATTGACATGCAGTCATAAACTTGGGGGTTTTTTTTCTTCTGCTAGAAGTTGTTTCAAACAGATAAACCTGTTGAATGTAAAGAAAATGGTTCCTTGAGGTAAAATTCCAGCTCAAGTTGTAGAAGAACACTGGTCTGTTGAATGGTTTGCTTTGATTAATTTTGATGGTGAAAATGGCAAAAACAATAACAAAAAAATTCCTCCAAACTGGACCTTGGAATGGGCTTTTTTTCATTTGCCAAAATGAGAGAAACTTAAAACAATTTTAAATTTAATTTACTTTTGCATGGAACACAAGCTTTTGCTTAATTTTTGAATGGTACTTCCTAATCTCCCAAGCATGAATGTTTTAGCTAATTCACATCTTGCTTTGGAACAAAAAAAATTTATATTTTACTGCTTCAACTTCTGCCCATTTTGGTCATAAGGCGGAGTTTGTGATGAATGGCTTCATCTGGGAAGTGTCACCCAGCTCACACATGGGCTTTAAGCTCTGCCATTTCCTTCCAAAGGGCCAAAATGTCACTCTGAGCCCACAGCTGCAGTCGCAGCTGGGCTCTGAGCAGGCTCAGCCTATGGAGGGAACAGTTTCACCTGGGAAGGAATTCCAGCCAAGGTGGTGGTGATTGCCATTGGGAGGTGTGCGGTAGGAGAGTGGGATGACCTCCTGGGTTAACAGGGACAGTTCTGCAGCATGGTGTCACTATAAAAGCTGTCACACTCACCAGAGCCTCGGAGAGATGATGAGCATCAGATAAACACCAGAGCAATTTGGAAAGTTTTGCTGTTCTCTGATGTTATCAGCCCATTTGTAGGAATCATCTGATTTATGGAAAATGTCACATTTAATTATGTCTCTCTTCTCTTTGTTCTCTTCTTCTGTAAAGATGGTTTATGGTTTGGAAAAAGCACAAGATGATTAACTGCAGATGTGATTTCTTGTTTCCTGGATATTTGAATTAATTGCCCATAATTGTGCGTCATCATGCACTGTGTGTTACCAGGCTGAACAAAAAAGACAGAAAGCCAGGAATTAGACCACAGCCTTCCTTTTCTATCTGTATTTATAATATTGAAGGTGCATGAATGGTTTATTCAAAGCTAATTTTCAGGAGGAAATGGCCACAATTTTAACACTGATTCAGAAACTCATGCCCTGAGTAAACAAATACAGCAGAGCTGACGTTTCTGAAGTCTTTTTCTACACAGACCTGAGCAACTGAAGCTGCATCAGTGGAGAAGAAATCTGCTCTATGGTGGGTGCAGAAAATGTGTTACAAAATACATTTTACTCTGCTACATATTTTTCTAGCAAGGTTTGTGATTAAGTTTTGAGGGTTCAACCCATTAAGAAGAATAGAAGTGCAACTTTAGCTGTAAAAGGTCAGGTTGGGCCAGTAAACATCTACAGACAGTGCCAATAGCTATCAAAAAGAGCTGATGCTTTTTGATAGGCTTTCCAGGCCCTGCCAGCAGATTTTGGTATCCAGCCCTGCTCTCTGGTAATTTTTTCCATCAGCTGAATGGGAACTTCAGGCTTCTAAACCTCCTCGAATGCTGAGATTCCAAAACCAGATGAAATAGGTTTGAAATGTCCTTCCTATCTCCTCTACCTCCACCTTGTGACACTTGAGTGAGGTGAGAGGAAAGCTGCAAAGACTGGAGACTGCTGTTGCCACATTCCTGTGCTAATCTAAATGCCACTGCCCTCCTTGGATGCCTTTCAGATGCCACATTTCCATCCTTCTTTTCCAGCTCTAATGGTTTAAGAGAGAAAGCATTGGGATGGTGAGCATGTTTTGATCATGGTTCATTAGACTGGAAGCTTTTTCTTCTATGCTTCTTTCAATAGAGATTATGCTGAGGCAGCATGAATGAAGCATTTTTATATATTAATTTCTGATTTTTCTTTTCCTGACTGGTTAAGTCAAGCTAAATGCAATTAATCTAAGCTGTATTCTGCAAAATATCAACTCAACTACAACAGGAGAGCAGCTTTTAAGCATCCACTGGTCCTAATTGATAAGAAGTAACAGCAGGGTTGCAGTTTTGTCTGGTGCAATTTTGACTTCTTGATTGCTCTGCACATTGCCCAGCTTCAGGAATGTAAAGTTTGCAGTTTGTTTTGTAGCATCCATGAAGGGAAAAGCTGCTTGGGTTTCTTACACCTTTGGAGAAGAGATCAGAGCCCTGTTTCCACAGCTGTCTGGTTTGTGGGCTCACAAGATAACAAGAGTTGTACCTGAATCTTTGCAAGGGTTTCTCTTCCCTTCACTCCTCCCTCCAGTTCAGCAGCCTGACCAGAAGGTTCTCCCTGGAATCTGATCCCCAATATCTGGGAGGAGGCAGCATGCACAAGAGATGGGAGAGCCCCACTTATAATCTTCTATATGATGTTAAGACTGAAATTTTCCTTTGCTAACACACAGTAGTGATTTCCAGCACTTTGCCACCATGACATAAACAAGTATCTTCTGAGAGCTGACCCATGCACTTTATAAACTTTTTTTCCAAATAATTAGTTATTTTTTTTTCTACCCCCAGAAATGTTAACATTTGAGACCCTAGAGAAATGATGGTGAATTCCAGAACAGGATGCAGATTTGCAGTGATGCCCTTTAGCACTGCTCAGCAGGACATGCTCAGAAGCATGCTAACAGAACCTTACCACTGTGCCCATGAGTCTCCTCCCTGATGATTTCATGTTTTCAAATGCTGTTTAATAAGTGATATTACAGTGTTAATTATACTGTGTATATTAACACTGGAAACTGAATCTCAGCTTGCATTTTAGGGGACTTTTTAGGTTGTTTTTGAAACTCACCCTGGCTGCATCTTGACCTTTTACTTAGATTATTTATTTCAACAATCCTACTTTGTGGCAATAACAGTTACATGGCTGTGTGCTACTGCTCCTGACAGCTCTCTGTATATTTTTAAAAATAGCTCTAATTGTTGAGGTTTGCCTAAAGCCAAGCATAGCCATTTGTTGCAGCAATTAGAGAATGTCACATATCCCTCGTGCTGCCTTTGTTCTGCTAAAAATGTTGCTAACAATTTGTTCAATTATTCTGGTGGACATGAACAGTAATAGCAGTAAATGGCATTGCAGTATGTTAAGCTTTGCCCAAATTGAGACAAAGCAATGTTTTCTGCTGAGAACATTTTTGTACTGTGCATTGTACATTGTTTTGTGGACAAAGATGGCTGGTAAGACATTTGCAGCTGTTGTCAAGATTTCTGTTATGTCTTCTAAATTAAAATACTGAAATGCTGCTGTGTCTTTGTCTCTCCTAAAATGAATTACAGGAAAATATATCTCCCAGGAGCATCCTATCTTATCTCACTGAGGTAAAGACAACATTTATATGAGATGACCAATGCAAGGGCCTTGCATGTTTTCAGAGGTGAGACTCCATTGATTGACTCTGTCTCTCCTTTTGTTGTCTTAAAAGCACTTAAAGTGTAGAAATTAAGCTGGTTTTGATTTCATAAGCATTAAATATGATTTCTTTTAAATATGCAATTTTAAGGAAAAGCGAAATACAACATTCTCTTCCTCCTTGCTATAAAATTATTTTACATCTATATTAACTCCCCATGTTCATCAGGTCCTCCCCTCCATCTCTGAATCTCCTGCCTCTTCCCTAGTTCAAGGTCCTGCCCACCTGAACATCCAGGTATGTTCAAAATGCATATTTTCTCTAATTTCTGGTCCTGATTTATTTTTTAATTATTATGATAAGAAAAATCAACAAGCATTCGACCCCTTAATTTACACTTTCAGCAGAGTCGTGTTCCCTTCAACTTACCTCAGGGCTGAGGGCTCTCTTAGATCTTCTTGTGGTTCCCCTGGGCTTTTGTGGCTTGCTGTGCCTTCCCAGTGAGCAAGGAGGCAAACCCTGGGCTCAGGGCTTGTGCTGCCTCTGGCCCAGTTCCTGTGCCCAGGCTGAGGGCAGACCAGCCCAGCAGGGCTCAGTGGGCTCTTGGTTTGAGCTCAGGGTCTCCTGCCCTCACACCACTCTTGTCCAGCTCATCCCTGTGCTGGTTCTGGCCTTTATGGGCAGGTCAGACACCCAAAAACTGGAAGGCAGCTGCAGGTAGGGGAAGAGCCCTGCTGCCATTTCTCTGCTCTCTGTACCTTTACTCAGAACTGTACTCAAGGACTTGCCTGAGGGTCCTGAAGGCACCTCTGTTCCTCCTGTACAACTGAACTGTAGTTCCTCCTCCCCTTCTCTTGGAGGTGATAGATGACTAATTCTCCTTGTAAATTTGAAGTATGGGCCATGCTAATTATTGAAATTCAGGTTTTGGTTACTTTCTGGCTGTGTGAGTGGCAATGGGAGGCATGTTGGTTACTAGATGTGCACTAGCACATTCTGCATGGACACTGGCATTCCCATTTGTTCCCTCTGTGTTTCACAGAGCATGCAGCAGCTGGGTCACTGCTTGAAGAGGCCAGAGAAAAACCACATGTGCTCTCCTCAGCTGCCCATGTCCTCACTGGCTCCTCTGGACCAGGCAGCCTTGATGTTCTCTGCCTTCCAGCCCCTGCAGGTGGTTTCCCACTCCTCCTTTCACCAAGCTGCCATAAAAATTTCCTCCAGCCACAAATGGGCAGAGAGAAATGGGCAGCAGCTGCACAGCCAAGAGGAGCTGTGCCACCTCCTGACGGTGTGAAGCACTTTTTGCTTCCTGTGGATGTACAGCAGGAGCAGAGACTGTGGTGAGTGGCTGGAAGTGATCAAGTACTGAGATTGCACAGCCTGAGCTCTATTATTCCCCCACCTCAACTTAAAAAGTGGGTTGTGATCATTAGAGTATTTAAATACCCTCCAGGTTACTCTTCAGGCTCTGCATTTTCATTAACTATGTGATGCAGTCTGACTCATGCTCTTATGTAAGCACTGAGCTGTAATGAAGTCCCATGTTGTGGTTGTTTAGTGCAGAGCTGTGAAGGATCATTGGTGTTTTCATTAAAAAACAACACTTTCTGTCCCAGAGGGCTTTGAACTTCAAGAATAGGGATGTGCAACTTCAAATTTGTCTCTCTTCTGCAGCTGTAGAGGAGGTGTGTGACAGCAGGGGTTGTTCTCATCTAATTAGGTGGATTATTAGGTAGAATCTGGGGAAAATCAGGCCATTTACAAAATTGCTTTTTTGCTGAGAAACTGCTGCCTCCCACAATTTATCTCAATGGTTTTGTTTGTAAAAGATGCTGCGTGTCAGGAGCAGTAATTGTTTTCTCATCTGAAATAATTGAAGTCTTCTGGTTCACACTCAGAACGTTCAGATTGATGTAGGAACCTCCAGCCCATGACTGTATCCACGCACTGGGATGTGTCACATCTCCTGCAATGAACAGCCTGGAGGTGGGATGGAAAGGGTAAGGCTTATGGCAGCTCTAATATTCCTGTTTTCAATCAGATTTGCATTTTGACAGCAGTGGTAGGATTAGAGCTATAGCAAGAAGAGTTGGGAGTATGAAATAGACTCCAGACATTGTAACTTTGAGGGAGGAGAATTTTTTGTGAAACCTTAAAAAAAAAAAGTGCACTGGTGTAGATACTGAACCTTGTTTATGTAGTGTTATTTTTCTGGGACCAGAAGTGTACAGGATGAGTTACTGGAATATATTTGCATATATAAACGCTGGGCTAAAGCCAGAACTACTAAATCCCTTGTTCAAACACTCCCAAGAGACCATTCTACCAAATCCCTGTATACCATACATGCAGGCTGATTTGACTCCAAAACAGAGATGGCACATAGTACTTTTCACTGCTGGCCACAAAAATGTCCAACAGAAAATGCCAGAATCCATGTATTACTAATCAAGAACAGCTTTTCTTAATCACAGGATTTTAAGAGATGTTCTGTGCAGAATATAACTAGTAATCCAGTCACTCATGCACTCTCCTCCACTTAATTCAATTTCCTGTAACAGCCCAGTGATTGCAATCACTTCCCTGATTGTAGCAATTGTAAAGCCCTGCTCCTGTTCATGCAGTCAGGAAAGAAGACTGGATGCACTGACTGTGTATCTAAATCAACACGGAGCAGCAGCAGATTGGAATTGCAGCAATACAGGAGAAAAATCAGACCCATCCAAGATTTTTATTTTTGTAATAGATTTTAAATCATTGGAAATCAGTTGCTCTCCTTTTTCAGTGAGAAAGTGAGGGGAAAAAAAAAACAAACAACTAAACCGTCCACTTGTGATTCATGCTCTAAGCATGTGAATGCTAAAGAGCCTGAGTCAGAACTGGGGCCGCAGCAGCCTGTGTATGGATGTGTCCTTGGGCTGCCTCTGCTCCACAGGCACAGAACCACACAATGGTTTGGGTTGAGATCACCTTATTCCAATGTCCCTGCTGTGGGCAGGGAATCTTCCATGCTCCAGACAGCCCCATCCAACCAGGTGCTCAAAACCTTCAGATTCCTGGCCCTCATCACCCTCAGAATTTCTTCCTACCATCTAAACCTGTCCTCCTTCAGCTTAGGGCCTTTTCTATCACTGCATGCCCTTCTGAAAATCCCTCTCCAGCCCTCTTGCAGCCCCTTCAGGCTGCTCTAAGGTCTCCCTGGAGCCTTCTCCTCCCCAGGCTGACCAGCCCCAGTGCTCTCAGCCTGTCTCCACAGCAGAGGGGCTCCAGCCCTTGGGCCACCTCAGAGGCTCCTCTCTGGTCTCCTCTCACAGATCCATGTCCTTGGTGTGGCCAGCCCTGATTCCCTTGACCACTGACAGAGGGAAGGCAGCCTGGGGTGCAGCTGTGTCCACCACCCCACAGGCTCTCACCCTCTTTGCTCCTTTACAGTGGGTTCAACATTTGTTTTGTTTGTTTGATCAGGCCTGGAAGAGAAATGGCATTTCTGTGATTTCTGTCACCAGTCCTGACCTTGCCCCTTGTTCCTAACAGCAACACCTGGAAAGCCCAGAGCTTCTTTGCCCCTCAGTTGCTCATCCTGGCAATGGCACCACCACCAGCAGAGTTCAGGGTGCATCCTGATCTCCTTGGCCTCTGGCACCAGCACTGCAGGGCCAAGCCGTGCTTTCACTGCTGCTCTTGTGTGTTCAGCAACACTCTGCTAACACTGCGAAGCAGATCATCCTGTCCATGGCATACCCCACACAGCTCCTCCTTGGTGCTGTTATGCTTCAGCCCACAAATTAGCTTTTGCTAGCTGGTGTCAAGGCTGACTTACCTCTCTTCACATCTACTTCCTCATTAGTTCACTTGCAGGACCAATGTTTTTTAAAAGAGTTTTCTCTTTTCCCTTTCCCTTTCCCTTTCCCTTTCCTTTCCCTTCCCTTCTTTCCCTTTTCCCTTTCCCTTTCTTTTTTTTTTCATTTCAGAGGATGCAAGAGACCAAATTCTGGTAAGGATTGCTTTAAAGATGCTGCTAAAACTGTTCTTGTGCTGACACCACTGTAAAATTTAAAACTCTACCTTATGGTCAAAGTCAAACAAGCATTTGGCTGAAAAAAGAGTGTGCTCTTGAGGGGCAGGAATGAACAGCACAGATGCTGGGTGCTAGCTCAGACAGTCAAATTGTGTATCATATCCTGTGAACAGGCATCCAAACTGAAACTCAGTTTTCACTCCTCTGACACTTGTACTCTTCATGCATGATGTGTATTCTTTGCAGTGGATTGTCGAGACTCTGGGCTGTAATAAAACAAATGAAATTTTTTCCCTGTTCTGATTGCCTCCTGATATTTTTTTATTAAACAGGGAACTTTTTTTGTTAATTTCAAAGTGATGACTTGCAAACAAGTATTTTCACAGCTCTGGAAGTGACAAATCCTTGATGATGTTTCCCTGGAGTGATGTTTCCCTGCCATCAAAACAACAGCCTGGTCTGTCTGCAAGGTGAAGGGGGGAGAAAAAAGTCTGCTACTCCAAGACTGCTGGACATTAAAAGCCAGAAGCAGAAGTGCAGCAGGTAAGAACATATGTTCCCATTAAGAATTGCAGTACATGGGCCTTAGTAATTACTGTCCATCCTCTACACTGATCACCGCTCCTTCATCATATTCCCTGTGGCAATGACTTCCATGCTCCTGCTATCACCAATTTTCTCCTTGCTGCTGCTGAAAATCAATGCTTGTGTTCCCTCTGGCTCATGCTTTTTGTCTGTGATTGACACTTTTTTTAGTGGAACTAAAAGGCACCAGTGGGTTCCTTATACACCTTCAATGTGAGGCTAATGTCTTTTATAATGGTTTGCAGAAAGATATTTTGAACCAAATTCTGTGTCAATTGACCAGTTTTACCCCCCAAGAGGAATTTTAGAAAACTATCTGTTTGCAAAACAATATTTTATTAATAACCAGAATTATAAACAGTAAGAAAGAAACCCCAATTTTACACTGAATGAAAAATCCAAAATAAACTCTCAGAAACGTGCCTCAGTTCTTTACTCTCTGTACAAGAAATTCTATTAGGTAGTAAATTCTACATCCACATTCATCCAGTTGTGGGGTCCCCAGCAGGAGGAAGGACATCAACCAGTCAGAGTAAGTACAGAGAAGGCCACCAAGGTGATCACAGGGACAGAACACCTCTCCTGTGAGGAAAGGCTGAGAAAATGGGATTGTTCAGCCTGGAAAAGAGGAGGCTCAGGGGTGACTTAATTGTGGCCTTCCAGTCCCAGAACAGAGCCAACAGGAAAGATGGAGAGGGATTTTTTACAAGAATCTGGAGTGACAGACAAGGGAGAATGGCTTGAACTTGTAAGAGAACAGGTTCAGGTTATATATTAGTGGAAAATTCTTCACTGTGCAGGTGGTGAGGCACTGCCACAGGCTGCCCAGAGAAGCTGTGGCTGCCCCATCCCTGGAAATGTTCAAGGCCAGGTTGGATGGGGCTCTGAGCAACCTGATCTAGTGCAACAAGTCCCTGTTCATGGCAGCAGGGCTGGAGCTCAATGATATTTAAAGTCACTTCCAACCCAGGCCATTCTATGATCTAAAGATGACTGAAAGTAAAAAAGAGCACCCTTCTATGCAGAGCAGCTGCATGGCTGGACAGATTTACCAAGACACAGAAAATCACATCAGTGACTAAAAGCCATGCTTTGTGTAGCACCAAGGAGAGAATTTTGTGGACCAAAAAAAATTCACCAACAACTGCAGGCCCTGAAATGCTGAATTAGGGACATGAGTGACCAATTTCTGCTTGCAGTTTCATCTCATCTTTCCTCAAGGGGAACTTGTCAATAAGGGCAAAGAGCTCAGCTGGGGTTGCTGGGAAGGGGTAGCGCTCCTTGTCCATGCCGTGCTTGTCCATCACCACGATGTTGAAACTGAAATGGGGGATCCTCAGCAGCAGCCTGCAAAGCAAGGAACTGGTTTTGTTAAAGGGCAGCACCAGACCCTTCAGCCTGAGCACAGGAAGGTGGGCATGGTCACAGGGGCTACACAGAGTGTAGGTTTGGTTTCAGCATTAACAAGGAGCCAGCTAAAGAGCAGGTGCCTGCAAGTGTCAAAGTGACTGCACCCAGCTCTGTTCTCTGCCAGTACCCACTGCTGTTACAGGAATGAAACAAGGTTAGACAAAAAGAAAAAAAAGTATGAACACTGCCTAAAAACCCTTGTGATGAAGCCTGAGTTACAAGTAAGACTACTTCCTTTATTGGCTTCCACTTCTTGGTTTTGCTTGGTATAAAAAGTCACAGTAAGAAAAAGCAGGACAAAATTATTGGAGTCTACTTTCACTGCTTCCTAATAATAACAATCATCTGTGACTCTAATTTTAGAGGAACAAAAGCCACTGCTAATCATGGAGGAGGAGTCCTTCCAAAGTGGTGGAAGTGGCCATTTCAACTCCTCTAGTAGCAAAAGCTACATAAGTAACAAAAGTTTATCTGTAGTGCTCTTTTCATCTTTTGCTTGAAGGAATAATGTACTAGAAGATGCCTGAATATGCAGTCAGTCAACATCGTTAGTGTGGGGTAAATAAATTCAGACAGCCATGAGAGAATGAGAGAAAGCTGCCATGAAGAAGAATCTGGGGGGATTTTGTGAAGCATCAAAATTGGCCTTCAGCCTCCTAACAAGTTTTAGGGCTCTAGGCATAGTCTTGTTGCAATTAGGGAGCTTGGCCATTAAATTCAAACTAAAATAAATATTAAAGCTAAGCAATAGTGATATAAAACTACATTCATCTTGTGCCATATATTACCTAAGAAAAAATGCTTCTAAAAATCCCAATGCTAAATTTCTGTGCTTTCCAAAGTTTTAACTGGGGCACTTGTGCTCATTAGCTTACTGAAATGTCAATTCTAGACAACACCTTTATTCTTAAGAGTGCATTTCATATTGATTTGAGCACCTTGCAGAACTAGAAAGCTGTAATTCACACACTAAGCAACAAAGAAAAAAACTTTCACTGAGTGCAGGGCAGGTCATACTGTAGCAATTTATGAAATGTAGCTTCATTAAAGGTTGCAAGAGACCAGGGAATGAGATGTTAAGAGAGCTCACTATTTTCTACAGAGCCACAAGAAAACCATTTAAACTTTAGTAAAAGTATCTTTATTAAAAAAAAAAAAGAGTCCTTTTGTGCTCTCCTTTTTCTTTTATTGAGAACAGTTTTTTTAAAATATTTTTTAAAAATCCCCTCTCTGCTGTGTCAGCAATTTTCATTGTCTCCAACTAAAACTTTCTCCCTTTCCTCAGGCATATCATAGATCATGTTGCTTAAAATGCCCCTTGACTTTTTTCTAAACAACTCCTTCTTTTCCTGCCAATGAGGCCCTCACTTTTGGCTTTTTTTCCTCTTCCAGTCCTTAGGAAATGCTGGCATTTGAAGTCTTTCTTTCAAGTGAAAGCCAATCCTCTGCCAGTCTAAACCCAAGTCAAAACAGTTCAGGCACCTCAGTAGAACTGCTGATGCTTCAGTCAGGCTGGGGAGGCTGAGATAATTTCGTCTTTGAACTACTGCCCATCTCATTCCTACATATGAGACTTGAAAGAGTTTCCCCTTTAGCCTGGCCACAACCACCAGCAGCCCTGGAGCAGGGGATGAGCTGTCTCTGCCATTTGGGACTGTCCTTGCAAAGGAGCAACTCCAACACAAATACAGACAGACTCTGAAGTGTTTTCAGTGGCAGCACCCAAAAATACAAACTTATATGCCTACGAACATAGTCATACTGAATATATAATTAAATAAGTTTGCTATTTTGTTTTAATTTGCAGTAGCTATTATACAGCCAGCAAATTAATCCCCAAGTGTGCTCACCAGTACCTACTTTGCAATGTCTAGCTGTGTACATTAGAGTAGAACACGTGGCATTTGGAAAATAAGTTGCAGGGATAAAAAGCAATGCAACTTGCAGGATAAGGTGCAAACACACAGCAATGAGAGTTTCCTTTACCTGAGCTGCAGGGTAAGTGATGGGGGCAGCAGCTTCACTCCTATTCTTCCTATCAGTTTTGGGAAGACACCCACCAGCTCCACCACGGTGACGTGTCGCAGGTCTAGCCCACACTGTGCTGGCTGCAGGGGTTCAGAGGAGAGAGAGGGGGTTGGTTATCCCTGAGACAGCAGGGGGATGCTCTGAGTGTGCAGCAAGGGTTCACAGAGTCCCCTCTGCTTAAGTTAGTTAAATGTTTTACACTGATTTGAGAGCATGTTTTGCAAACACTCAAATTCTCACAGCAAAGAACTGGAACTTCGTGACTTCAGGGGAGGTTAAGTAACAGATTCTCAGATACTCTAAGAAAACCAACACACAGGGACCACCTAGGAGAAATGTCAACTTGTCTCTGTAGTTATATGAGAAGATGCCAGGATGCCAAGCATTGTACCAATAACCTAATTTGGCAATCAAAGCAAATTATGTGAAACAGAAGTTGACTGTAGAAAGTTTTCTTCCATGCCAACTCATTTGCCTGCTGCCAAGAAGTGGAAAATGTACCATATCCATTAAATTCAGTTTGATCAATATACTGAATTTTCTTGCCAAGTTTATCTAATAGGGAAAAGGAGCTGCTTTCTTTCTTTTTTTTTCTTAAATACAAGTGTAATTTAAGCCAGCAGTAAAAAATCATCATCACAGTCATATCTCAATGATTATTTATACTGCGTTTTGTTACAATTTGTGAGAAGAAAAAGCAAGATAGGAGCACTTGTAGCTGTGAAAGAATGCAGGACTGGTTCCTCTCCTGCCTTTCCCTGAGGACACAGATACACTTTTAGATCTAGCCCTCAGACTAGCAAAAAGCTAACAAATGCATCACACTTAAACACATAAGAAGGAAAATTGCCAGGTGTTTTGGGGTTTTTTGAACAAAACATCCCAGTGTTATCTCCATGACTCTGGATGATTTCAGTGCTGTGTCTCTGGTCCTTTGTTTGCTGGTGCACTTTTTATTTCTGAAGCTATTCACATTTCCTTGCATTGTAGTTGCAAATTCTGGGGGCCTGGTCTGCATGAGCTGCTTAAGAACTGGGGTTGGGTTTGTGGTTTTTTTTAAACTTCTTTAGCAGCTGAGATAGGGAATTGTTATTGAGCATGGGTTAAATTAATTTGGGGAGAACGGAAGGGTCAGAACTGCCTGGGATTCAGTGACTGGTCAGAGGCAGCACAATCCAGAATGGAGCTGAGTTAGAGACTGGGGGGATATTTCAACTCAAACCCTTGTGAAAAGGATTAACCTGGAATCATGACTGCTTGAGCCAGATCTTTCAGCAGCTACAATAAAAAAGCTGAAGTTTTTTGATTTATGTAAAACAGTGGAGCTTGTTCTCTTGTGTCTTTCTTAAAAAAAAAAAAAAAAGTTGCATATTCCTCTTAAATGTGTTTTACCTGCAGCATCCCCAGCTGCATCCTGTAGAAGAAGTTAGCAGCAGTAGGAGTTGAAATAATCAGCAGTCTCCGCTTCTCATAAAATTGATCCAGAAGTGCAGCTGCAGTCCTCACATTCACATTAATATTCATGGCTGGAATAAAATTAAAACAGAAGTTATGAAGCACACTGAAAACAGGTCCACTTCTACAGGCAGAGTTCAACAGCAGAAACACAAGAACAAGAATCAATAATAAAGAAGACATGAATAAAATGCTGGCCTCATTGAAACCAACAATTTTACTGTAGACTCTTCTAACTTGCACAATGGATTGACTCCAGAATGTGATATTTTGTAGAAAGCTTCGAGCTAAAACAAACTCTAGGAAAGGGCAGTCAAAGGTGGCAAAAGCTTCAGCTGTTAAGTGCAAACTGACAAAGAAGACAAAAATAATGCTGAGTTTCCTACTTCTGGGACACTGCAGCTGTATTTGATCCCACACCCCCTTCCCAAATTCTCATTGCCCTAAGTTTCCTACCTCTGGGACACTGCAGCTCTATTCCATCCCACACCCCCTTCCTAAATTCTCACTGCCCTCAGCACCCCTGTGCTGGACTCCTCCTGGCAGAGTGGAGAAATACTCACGTACGTGCACAGGTTGGCTCCACTCCTGACCACCCCAAGTTGTACTGGCAGACTCGAGCTGGGCTGCCTTGCAGCTCGTAGCCACCAATGCAGGAGAACTCACAGGTAGCACCATAGTTATTGCCATCACCTGAGCACTTGATGTAGCCATTATCTGGGGCATTCAACTTCACACAGCGCCTGACTTTGAGCAAGAGAAAAAACAAAACAAAATGAAAGACACAGCATGAATCACCATTTGTTACTGAGGCAGCACAGGTCAGTGGAATACCAGTACCAAAGACATTTTTCTGTTTGCTTTCTGTGTTATTAGTCATGCACTTAAAAACCCCAAACAACCAACCTGAACTCCCCCATCCCTCAACTCTAATGTAAAATGAAACAGATGTGTAGGTGTATGCATAGGACAAAAGGTCATGGAGCACAAAGGGCTGAAGCTGAAAACCATAGGTCATCTCTGTATATTTAGCTCCAAAAGTTAACATCTGGAGCTGAATATGGGCAGCCCTGCCAGCCCTTCACCTCTTGGTTTCAGCAGCTCACAGGCTGTGCAGCAGGAGAAGCTGGAAGGAGGGAAGGGATGTGGAGCTGGAGGCAGGACTGAGCAAAGCAGCTCTTCCTGGATGTGCAGCAATGCTGCAGAGCTGGCCCCCAGGGTCTTCAGCAAGGCTCTGTCCCTCCTTTCAGCATCATCACAGAGTTTATATACACAGACATATGCAGATAAATACAGAAATGAGAACATTTTCAAATTGCCTGCTAAGCCAGGTGCAAATCAGTGTCTGTATTTACAGGTAAAACATCATCCTTACCTCTGACTTTAACAAGAAATTTGCAGGTGCCTTTGTTTTCAGCTCTGTCATACACAGTATATTGGATTTTGTGGTCGCCTTCTGGAAAATGTGACCCTGGTGGCAGGCCTTTCAAAATAACACTAAACCAAGAGATAAAACAGGACAGACACTCATAAATTCACCAGCATTTATTTACTCACAATGCTGTAAAAGCCTGAAAGAGGGATGTTTGTGGCATGATAGGATTTTCTGGCTGCCTGCAGGACAGAAGACTTGAGAATAGGCAAAGGAAGAAGCTGGGCAGCAGCAACCAGAGTATTTAAATTTGCTACCTACAGCCCACCCTACTGAGACAAGGGTGTTGGAGTGGGCAGGGTCTGCTCCCTTCCTATAAAACAAACCAGTGTAGCCAAGCCCATCATGCCCAGAGGAGCTCAAGCTTCCTTCTCCTTACATAAGAAAAAGTCAACACTAAAAAAGAAAACTTCCAGTCTCTTACAGAGAGGATGTATTCCCATCTGGCTGCTCTGAACTGCTCCAGTGATTGTCATTTGTGAGTGTTAATATCAGAAATGGAACAGAAAGTGAGATTCAGTGTCACAGCAGAAGGGTGTGGTGATCCACAGCAGCATTTTCACCTGGAATTTGCCCATCCTGCAAACAAGGTGGGAGAATTATGTGTAAAACATAATCTCAGTATTGAAGCAGAGAGCATGTAACCAAAGAGGTTTCCATGTAATGGAAAAGCTTTTGTACTCCTGAAACTGTGTATTTAAGAAAAGTACTGCATACTGTATAAAACAGCAGATCTTAGCAATATTTTATAAAATAGAGATATGATTTGTGGAAAAGCTTCCACTGAACCAAGGGCTTGGCTCTTTTGAGCTGAGAACAGTTACTTGTATGACAGAGTCTACATGAGATACTCCCCATTTTTTTGCCTATCAGACACTCCTCTGTCAAAAAGACTTAGGAATGTCTTCATTCTGACATTTTCGAAGTTTTTACTTTACCAGGTGTAGTTTTTGATGTTGTTAACTGTCACCAAGTTGTTACATCAGACCTCAATGCCAATTATTTTTTAATTATGTAATGAATTCTTCTTTATGAAACTATTAAATTATAGCAATAAAAGGGTAGTATCATTGTCTTTCATTAGTTTTTTGTATTCACATGAAACTGTAAACATCTTCAAGCTTAACAACTTTGAGCTTTTAAGCTTAACCAGTCCACTAATGTAATGATGTAGATTGCTTACTGAAAGAAACACATTTTCCATGCTCCCACCATTACAGTAATCCAGATAGACTGAACTAAATCCTGCATGATAAAAATGGGAAAATCAGAGACAGCAGTACAAGGTGAGAAGGGTGAGAAGTATACCCTGTTCTTCTGGAAAATGAGACTGTGAAACCATAGAAAGTGACGAAGAAATTTTTGAACTGTAATGTCTAAATCCAATGTTTAAAGCCATCAAGGTTACAAACAAGAAATGTCATTTTAAAGGTGACTGTAGAATCAGTAGGCAGTGCTACCTTAGGAATAAACCTAAAGATGACAGACTTTATTTTGTGACACACCTTGTTATTTTTTAAGACACTCAAACTTACCTCTTCTGTTACCTGCAATGCACTACTCTGTTTTCATTGTTATGTACAAAAGGTTACTTGGTCCAAGAACACTTGTTAATTATGAGACCCGCAAAGAAACTCTGCAAAACACCTCCAAACATGCGATTCTTTATAGAGCAGTGATATGTGACAGCCAGAAAAAAGCACCCTGGATGAACGAAGGGAAAAGGGTACCTGGCCTGCTGAATTGCTAACAGAAGGGTAAGGAGGAGGAAGAGCACAGTGCAGAGCCTTTCACCTACTCGGTGAGGATGCCGTCGGCGGTGTCCCGTCCCTCGGGCGTGTCCCAGAACACGCGCACTGTCAGCTTGTTGGGCTCCGCCGACTTCTCCTTCACGCTCGGGCACTGGATCCTCGGGGGCTCAGTGTCTGTGAAATGAATGTGACAAAAAAGGGCACTGGAGCATCTGCCAGAGATCTGCATTTCTCCACAGCCCCTTCCCTGCTGTCAGCCCAGGACCACCTCCAGCTGGCCTCCTCAGCCCTGGATTCATCACAGCCAAGGCAGGTGGAGCCTTCACTTCTCACCTTTTTGTAAGAAGAGCTGACAGTGATCAACCCTTTGCAAATGCAGAAAACCCAAATAAAAGTAGTTACTGTAAATTTCTGTACATAGTTCAGTTAAAAAGTCATTTTGGATGGCTTTGAACTCCAAGGAGGGATGTCCAAGATCACACCCAGGGAGTCTGGATGTTTTGTTTATCTGCATCCTTTTCTTTGTCCATCTGTGCAGTTGACAGGACCCAGGACATCCCTCTGGCTGTCCTGAGCAGCCCAGACCCCTGCCAGGGGGCTCAGAGACCCTGGCACAGAGCCAAGATGCCTGTGGTTTTGATTATGACCTGTGGAGCAAGTTACCGACCTTAGATGAAAATCTGCAAGCCACGACAAATTAAGTAGAATGATAGTGAATTTATCACGAGGTGAAAAAGTAGATTTTGAGTTTTTTTAGAATGGAGGTTCAGGGGGCAAGACGGAGGGATCTGGGCATGTCCTGCCTTTCTCCTTCTTCTTCTTGGCCTCCATCTTCTCCTGTGATGTTGGCACTTTTGGATTGGTTTAGACTGGAAGCCCACTGTCTAACATAGGTGATAGGTATTGGAAAGTAACTGTAAACATTGCACATGTAGTTTTTAGTATAAAGACATAACACTGCCCTGGGGGCAGGCAGAGTGCCTGGACTGTCCTGCTGAGCACACCTCAACCGGACAGGAGAAGTAATTTTATAGATAAGATACAACAAACAACCTTGAGACCGAGAAATGAAGAGCCCTGACTCCTTCTTCAAGCACCGGGCTGGGAAAAGAGACTTTAACATTTTTCAGGGTCATTGTGCCCAGCCAGAGACCCCAACATACAGCAGTTGATGTGATTAAGAGCATTTTTAAAGCACACTGAACATCAATATGTCTCTGCATGGTAACTCTGCATGTTACTGTTAACATGCTGGTTATGTTTCCTGCAGTAATGGCAAAATGAGAAACAGAAGACTGGCACAATTACCATTTTGTGGAGAATCAATGCTGCATTTGATTTTTTCCAAGTAACTCTTATGATAATGTCTTACATCAGTAGCCAGCACTACTAGGACAAGCATCCCATCAATACAGGCTCAGGATGTGACAAAAGGATGACTTAGCTTGGTGACAGCCATTTACCACAACCTCTGTTATATACAAACTGCAGGAAAAGGCAATCTTTCCAGAAGAAAAGACTGGGACATTTTTCAATCTTCTAGAGGAAAATATCTATTTCAATACATGTTACAGTGCATTAAAGATATAATGGAAATATTATTCAAGTGAGTATTGGCATTTTTAGATAACTAATAACCAAAACCAGCCGTACATTGATTTTTCTTTTAATCAAAATTATTTCAGCAACATGAGGGATATCCTTCCTCTTACAGGGTGGGGGCAGGAGACAGTCTGCTTTGTTAGGACAGAACACTCACTAACTATAAGGACTTCTGTACATAACTGCTAAAACATATCTAATTTTTTAAAAATACACCTTTTTTTTTCTTCCTTTTAATGAATACATGTTTGACAACTGAAAGGCCTTATGCCTCTCCTACATGGATCTTCACTGCTGTACTGCAAAGCCCCCATAATTTAGGGCAAAAATGCTACCCAGTGCAACTGCAGTATAAAAGGGTAGAGGAAAGGCCCTTGTTTTCAAGAGCACTTCAAGTTCAGGTCTGAAATAATTTTAGCCATACTCCATGCCAAAAGCTGGGGAATCCCCAGGACACTTCCATGACATGAAGTTTACCAGCCCATGCCTCTGATCACAAGTAGCATCCCTACTGTGCACAGTGCAACTCGCTGTATATCAAAGTTAAGAAATCAAGAAGCCTTTTGCCTTTGTATTTCATTGCTCTCCTCAGTTTCACTCCTCAGCTCTTCAGCCAGTCCTCTCCTGGCCACTGCGTAGGCTGCAGCTCTGTAACTTCTGCATTACACTAAGGAACAAGTGTAAATGACAACTGCAAATGTCATTGTACTGTTAGAATTATGCCTGGCCACAATTATGTCTGTGATATCTGGTCACAAAAAAATCTCTGTCCTACCTATCAAGAGGTCAAAATATAACCTTATTAAACAGTCTGCTAACAGCAGATCTCAGTATTTGCCTACAGGAGCTGTGTGCACACAAGATTTGAAGGGATCTTCTCCAAACAATGGAGCATTACCACAAATCTTAGTGTTACTTTTACTGGGTTGCTTGGGACTTGTAATCCTATGCAACAACTGGGACTGGAAACCCTGTGCAGCAACTACTCTGCATTTTTGGAATAAAAAAGAAGAGTTAGTGCTAACTTAGCCTCTTTTCTTTACTGCTTAAAGTACTTGCTTACTTTACTCTGCAAGACAGCATCCTTTGTAATAAGCTCACCATCTCTGCACACAGATGAGCTTCTGAAAGTGCCAGGAAATACAGGACAATATTTTATCATTTCCAAATGTAAAAGGTTTGTTTTTCTTCCTCTGCCCACACCAATGAGAAGGACAAAGCTTGTTTTTACAACCAAAAAAAAGAGACAACACAAACAGTCTAGACCCAAGCAGCTCATTTCTACATTTGTACAACACCAAATCACAGGAAACCTGAAAAATACTTTATGAACATCAGGCCACAGTGGAGAGGCTCCAATGCCATTTGCCAACCTAGACTGAGCCACAGGCATTCTGAGGAAAACCAAATTATCATAGACACAAGACACTAAGCACAAACACTTTACCACCCACATGCTTTAAATTACTGGCAGTCATTTCAGATGGCCAAAGAAATACTTTCCTTTGTGAGTGGCTGCTGAAGCATTTATCAGAGGCTTCCCAGAAACAGGGGCAGCAGGCTGAGACTTCACTATGTGCTGAAATTTCATTAGTAGTCAGGAAAGTTAAATCTCAATATTTGATTATCTCTCTGCTGATTTATGTATATGGAAATACTTCTTCCAGCTGAGGTTCCCAGGAGACCACTGGCTACGTAATGAAAATTGCTGTCATAACTGGAGTGACCTAGGCTGAAATTTAAATTAGCTCACTGCAACCATGCTGGTAACTACAATCCATTCACATTGTCTGGATATATTTGAAGACCATGATCCCAGGGAAGAAAAACAGTTCAGATAATGGGTTGTTGTGGGGGTCCCAGTTGCCAGGGTACTGGTTGTGGGTTTCTCTGGGTTTGGATTGAAGGCACTTTAGACCATAGTTCATGTCTGGACTCAGGTGTTTATTATTTCTTACCAGTAAAGCAGTCTCACTACTGTGAGTTTGGCAGCTTGTCATTAGAAGGCACAAAATGGCAACAATCTCTTGTTCCAAGGTCTTTTAAGATTAAACTCTCCAATTAAGAACTGACACCTGGATTATTTTCCCTTTTAACCCAATAACTGATCCCAAAGAGCTGCAATGGGGACTTTTCTGCCCAATTACAAAATGCCACCCAAACCCATGGAGAAGAAGGAGGAAGAAGCATGAAGAAGAAACCCAGGGCAACACCCTGTGCTCTCCATCTTGTTTCCATCCACAACATACTAAAAATCCCAAAACCTAAATTTCTCACCAAATGATACACCTACACTGCTCTCTACAATCTATTTCACACTTTTGTGGATTCTAGTCTATCTTGAAGTTTAAAAAACTTTCTCCATGAATGAGAGTCAAAGTCACTGTTCCCCTGGGGGTCAGGGCAACCCAGAGCAGACAGAGAAATATTCCTGGTGCTCTGGGTTTCCACAGGTTTACTCTCAAACCTGTTTTTAATCATTAAGCAGAAGAGAGTGTGACAGATTCCAGCACAGAGAACATGCTGGAAGAGCAGCACAGTAAGCACAGTCTATGAAGAAGTCACTCAGGAATCACCAAAGGCCATTACAAGCATTGTGAAGTGCTGGCCATTTACACCAGACTCATTTCTATTAAAGTGGCAATGTTGGGCCACTCGCTTTGGACTGAAAGTACTGAGTGTGACAGAACCTTGCACCCTTGGAAAACTGCTCTCTGCTTCCTTAAGAGGGACAGGATAGGTGCAATTTTGCCCGCTGGTTGGGAAGAATGATGCATCTCCATGATATCAGAAGACTAATTAATTACTTTATCATACTATATTATTCTATATTATATTACATCTAAACTGAAACTGAACAATAAGTCAACTGAACAAAATCTCATGACTGTCTCCTGACCAACCATCAGGACACAGCTTGCAGATTGGTCAAGAAAACAAAACACTCACATCAGAATCCAATTACCAAATCCCTTCAGGTAAACAATCTTCCATAATGCATTCCACTTGTGCACAAACACAGGCCAGGCAAATGAGACAAGAATTGTTTTGATCATTCTCCTCTCTGCCTCTCTCAGGTTCAGAGAATGTGAATCCCACAGGACAGTAGCTTTTTCTCCCCATGAACTGGATCCAAAAGGCCTTTTGGAGTTGATGTGTGCAGGACTTGGCAGTGGCAGGTCCCTTGGGATGACTCCACACACCCCAACACGTCACTCACCCACACAGGCTGCCGGGCGGCCGCTCCAGGCCTTGCTGTCCATGCAGGTGACGATGCGGTCCCCCTTGAGCTGGTACCCTGGGGAGCAGTAGTACTCACACCTCGAGCCAAAGTAGGCACCATCCAAACACTTGAAGCCCCCGTTGGTTGGCATGGACAGGGCAGGGCAACGCTTCTCTGGAAAAGGAAACAGAGACTTCTGGAAACTTGTTACCCTCCCTCCCTTCTTACTCTCCCATTGAAACTCATTACAATGGGATACTACACAGAAATAAAGGCACAGCTGGCAAAAAAGTGGGAGGAAGTCTTGTTCCATGTGAGGTTTTTTCACACTGTTCTCATTAGCTGCATTTCAAATTTAACTCTGATACAATATTTAATGAGAAAAGGGATGACAAGTACCTATTCCTCTCTTCTCAGAAAATGCTTTACTTCAAGAGTCCATTTAGATACCTAGTACAAACTGTGTCAACTTAGAAAGTCTAAGATGGGCAATATTTTAAAAGAGCTTTATGGCTCTGTCATAAAACTTCCCACAAATCAAAATCTCACATTGATAAAATATTCCCTATCTGCCATGAGTGTTTGTACCACTGAGACACTTATCATGTCATGCACGCCTGTGAGACCCTCAACAACAAACGAATCTACATATCTAAGCATTCTGCCAAATAAACCAATAAAAATAAACCAATCCAAAGATCAGTTTCAATGGCAAATAAGAATTTATTGTCTGAAGCTGGGGCACAAGTCACACACACAGATTTTGCAACCACTTACGTTTGCAGAGCACCTTCCCAGACCAGCGTTTGCTCGACTGACAAATCAGCTGGTGAGGGCCATGCAGCTCGTAGCCCTTCTGACAGCGAATATCACATCTCGTGCCCAACACATTCTTGTAATATTCCCCTTGAGGTGTCCTGCAGTTTGCATAACCATGTTTCACTTTAATGGGCGAGCACCACGGTGTTTCTGACACAGAGAAGAAAAATGTAAAAGTTCATAGCAATTAGAAAAATGTAGAAGTTCAGACACAAATATAAAATCACTTTGCTTAACCAAGGTCACAGAGATGAAAAGTAAAAAACCCTCAAATTTAAAAAGCCATCAGTCTTTAAATTGGAGAACACTGCAGAGGTGCACTTATACATGAGGAGGTCAGCCCTTTAAAGAATGAAAGCTCTTCTTTTATGACAAGCATTAAAGATTGCAGCCATTATATTGGAGGGGTTGTGAGGGCAGGTGGGGTTTTACTATGCTTTTTGTCCACGGAATAAGTGTGCCACCATGTGGGCAGTTTGATGACAACTGGGTTGTTTTTCCCTCTTGTTTTTAACCAGACACATTCAACTTTGTTAGATCGTTTGCTCTTTGATAGAAGTTTGCACTAGGAACACCCTGATCAAGCTGCAGCTGTCAGCTTTCAACATTTAGCTTAGTGCTCATTAAAAAAAAAATTAAGTTCTGTTTCCAAATAATCTGCTTTGCAAAACTCAGTGATGGTTCAAGCCTTCTCACAGTTAGCAGATACCACTTACATAAATCATATTGCCAACATGTCTCATTGAACCTGCTCCAAATGAACCTTTATTAACTGGCCTATGCTGTAAAACATTCAGGATATGGGTACCCCCACCTTGTGAGGATTTACCACCACATGTAGTGCTGGTGAGAAGAATACCAAGTAGAGATTTCCCTTCCCAGCCAAAGTTTCACATTCTTTGTTGAGCTTTGACAAGAGGGTGCACCAAGAAAATGGGCAGCTCCTCAGTAGGAGTTTTCTACACAAGAGTGACTAAGCCTGCCCCTTTCTCAGATCCAAGATTTGAAAAGCATGTCTTGGGAGAGGAGAGAGGGAGGGAGGGATTGAAAAGCAAAAAGGAAAAATGACAAATGCTGAAATCCTGTGTGACATGAGAGAGGGGCATGAAAAAACATTGGAATTTTGCAAGGAAGGTGAAAAAAAAACCCTGAACAAACAAAACACAGGATTTTAGCCTTCATATTTACAGTCACAAACAACATTAAAAATAATATTCTAGATCACGTTTGGCAGATGGTCATTCCTAGCTCAATTCCCACAGTTATTAAGTGTGTTTTCCTATACTAGTTGGATCAGCTCCATACATAAACAAACAGCAATCCATACAGCATTTCTCATACATGGAATATTTATATTCAGTGTGCCACCTCTCTAGGACACATTTACACTTTCCCAACAGAAACTACACTTTACATCTGTATTTTTCAGCACTGGCCCTGAATAAACACAAACAGCATCTGCAGACTAAAATCAGAGACTAATTATCAATCTAGATATGTGCCTAGACCAAGGGCACATTTCCTCTAGACTAGTCCATTTCTGAAGCAATTTTACTGTGATATGTTTATTTTTGTCTTTCAGCAATACAAGTAAAAAACCCTTTACAAAGATGTGTAGGTAAAATTATTCCCAGTGTCACCAAATACACAGTGGTACTGAGGCACAGGACACAAGCAGGCCAGTCCAACAGCACCCCTCAGGTTAAGGGTAAAGTACAGTTCAGCTTTTTGACCCAGACACACAATCATCCCAGCTCTGCTTCTTCCCACCTATAAGCCTGTTTTCTGAATGTCAAATGCATCCTCTGCTATTTACCTTACAATTATGCAAAGTGCTTTGGTGGAGAGTGGGTTTTGGCTTGAGGGTTTGATTTTTTTTTAGAACTATTTCCTGTCCTTCACCCTAATCTCTATCCCACAGCTCCCACAACACATTTACAAAATCCCCACATCCACTGCCTTGGGCCATTTTGTTGAGGGGCTGTATCACAGTGGCTCCCATTTTTCATGTTTGTTGTGCACCAAATGAAAACTGAGACAACAGATGAGGAGTGTGAGCTAATGGGAACAGAAATCAACTGCTGAAAAAATGAGTGATGCCAACACCCAGCTCTGCCTCCTTAACTGCTACCCCAGGGCTGCTGATGCAGTCTCAGGCACCACCTCTGACCACTCTCTGGGGGAAGCCACACATCTTGGATTCACACCCTCTGTCTCATTCACCTCCTGCAGAAATCCTCCTGCTCCTGAGCTTTCCCACAATCTCTGCTTCAGTGGTTTCATGCCCAAACTCTCCAGCCTTTTTGTCCCACTTGTTCTTCCCACGCTCTGAGACCTCAAACTTCCACTTATTTACATATCCAGGCTTGGAAGATCTCCTTAAATAAGAACTAGGCCTCAGTTTTCCTGTAGAAGGGCTTAAACCCTTCTATTACTTCTTCTATTAATTATTAACCCTTCTATTAATTCTGTTACTAAGACAACACTGTCTGCAAGGGCAGGACTGGGTGGATGAAAACTCATTTGGCTGAGCTTTCACCCCAGCCAGTTACGCAATCCTTCAGCAAATCAGTTCAAGACATTTATGCCTTGGGTTTTCCTCATATATAAACTCCAACTGTATATTGCTGACTTCCTTCGCAAAGGGTGTTAAGACAAATATGCTTTGCATATAAGAGGCTAATAAAAAAATAAAGAGGGCAAATAATCTGTTTCAGGTATTGTAAAGTGCCTGACTTTTTCTGTAAATTTTTGTGGTTTTACAAACACACTTGACTTGAGTAAACAGCTACCCACATATTCATATTTTTAAAAGATAACTAACAGGTAAAAGATGCAGTTTCATGCATAAACACAACATTGAAAAGGAAAAAAAGCTTTTCCTGTAGTATCACTGCAGCTACAGTGGTTTCCAGAAACAAAACAAGCTCCTACAAAGAAGCAAAATGCATCTTACATTGGACCAAATGATTCTGCCAGAAAGAAGAACAAAAGCAAACATGCTTTTTGGATGCAGATAACTTGAAGAGCTTAGGAGGCACATCTGTTTGATTTAAAACATTACAATGCTTACTCTAGAACTGATTGTGATTAGAAGAAAGTAGGTGAGGCAGGGTTTACAAGGCATTTACAAATATTGGGGGTTAGACCAAGCAATACTGCTGGAAAAAACCCAGCTAACTTGAAAAGCACATCAAACAATACAACAAAGTTTTAGATCAAAGTTTGTTTATTTTTAAGTGAAGACACATATTGGTTTTCAAAGGCTATGCAGCTACATAGAGCATTTGTAGAATATTAGGTTTGTGTGAGGCCCCAAGGGGGTACATAAGCTGTTCCCTGCCTCAAGGCAAGATCAGCTGGGTTCCTGAAGGCTTTGGGGATTATAAAAGCTAGAGATTTCCCAGACACCTTTTCTGGAACTTCACCATCTATACCAGGCTCTGTTCACCCAACTGAAATTTGAGTTTTTAACTACCAGGACCGATATACTGGTTTCTTGTTTAATAGAAAGTTTGCACCTCAGCATAAAAAAGAACTAAAAGGTCCCTCAGCAATACAATATCCTGAATTTTCACTTAGTAGTGTATCCTGTGTTTGAACCCCTGGAAAACAGGCAGCAAACAGAAATGGTTGAAGCCCAATGTTGCCTTTAGAGCTATGGACACTGCCTAATCATTACAGTATCTGAGAAAACATATGTGAATGAGGATCACCAGAGCAGTGGCACTGGAGCTGTGATGAACACAGCAACTGCTCTACTCAGGAAACTTTTCCTCATGAAATGTGATCAGGGATGCCAAGTGGCAGGAAAAAAGGCACTTTCTAGAGCATCATCTCCCCCAGCCCCTTGGTCCTGTGTTGAACACCCTGAGCCCTTCCTTCACAACCAGCACACCAAGTGACCAGCTGCAATGCTGCTTGCTGCTACCCCAGCCACCAGAGCTGATGGTTCACCAGGGAGGAAGGGAAAAACTCCTTAAAAATGCTGTAGGCACAGAAAATCTTGGCCATGTTTCTCTGGAAAGCTAAGCAAGTGGTAAAACATCCAGATGAAGACAAAAGGGTTTAGTAGGGGGTTGATTTTCACCCCTCCCAGTAAACTGCAATGTTTTGTTTGCAGATGCCAAAGAGGATGAGTCTGTGTGCTTGTTTGCTCATGTGCAGAAAGAAAAATCCAATGCTGCTTGCATATGTGAGCACCAATAACAAAAAACCATTCAATTCCTGATATTGGTAAGTTTTATTTCCTAAGAAATGGGCCACACCCAAAATGCTGGACTGCACATCTGAGGAGAAGCTCTGAAGTTTGCTACACAACCTATTTTTCCTTGCTTTGTCTTTCTCCATCCCCTTTCCCCACCAAAGCAACATAAAGAAGTATGCTAATGAAGAATCAGCCTTTTCTGTTCCAATGCTTTATATTCTTATTTCACATTGTCTGTTCCTCTGCATTTGGCAGAAGTGCTTCCCAACTTGGGGCAGTTTTTAATGTCTGTGTGAACGAGTCATTATGTTTCACTTACCCTGGTGACATTTTGGCTGACACGAGAATAATCCATTTTGGATCACCATACAAAAGGAATTTACACAGAATCCACATTTTAAATACTTGCCTGCCCTGGCATGAATTGGCATTGATTTATCTTCATGATCTATGAGTTCTTTTTCTATGTGTCTGCAGAGGATCACATGTTAGAAGGCAAAGAAAAAATGGCTTAACCTAAACAAAGCTTTAGAGAATTATTTGTGCACATGTTTGAGAGCAAACTTTTATACTTGAGTATTTTACTGGGAGGAAGATGAGACATTTATGAAAACAGCAACACAGCCATAAAAGCTGTGTCTTCCCTTGGCTGTTCATAAATGTCTGAATTATTTTATGACTTACCTCTTATATGGCCCATTGATTCTTTGCAGAGAATCAATAATGTACAACAAGACATCAATGACCAGTATTTTTAAGTAATCAAAGTGATGATAACTCTAGTACATCCACAGATCAATTTACTAAAAAGAAACAGTTATCATTTAAGTGACAAATGAAATGCTACATGTCTTTAGTGTCTAGGCTTCTGAGAAATTTTGGCAGAGGAGAGTGATATTAAGACAAAGGCAGACTTTTTAGAAAATTGCCACTGCATATGGAAGATTTACTGGTAGCGGCAAAAAACTTCTCACTCTTGCTGAATGGCAAAGTCTTTCAGAACGGGAAAAAAACCTGAATTTGCTTTATAAATATGCACATCCCTTCACTCATCCAGCTACATAATTTGGTTTTGGAATGCACACATGCATTTGTAAAACACATTTCACTTGGCACTTCAGGTAGCAGATTAACCTAAAATGCAAGCAATTCTATGGAAAGAAAAAAGTCATGAAAATCAAGTTCTCTTGCATGTACTTCTATACATTACCATCAGAAAGCGCAGATTTTGAGTCAGTTTATCATTGATGGTTTTGTTAGCATGTATGGATAAGAAAGAGAAGCTCTTCCTGATTTTCATCATTCACAACCTGATCTCCCAGGAGCAAAGGCAATGTAAAAGTTACTTACGCGGGTGCATGAAAGAGCTGGGATCAATATTTGGTCTAATTTCCGTTGTTAAAAACAGCAGAAATTAAATCTTGATCTAAATATCCATGAGAAAAAAACATGGAGCTGGATCACCAAGATTGTATAATCCACAGAAAGGAAAAAGAATGAAGCTTTCTGTCAGCAAGCAGTTGATCCTCTTTAGCACACAAGCAAAGCATTCACCTTTGTATCTACTGAGTGCATAAACATCCTCATCATCTTCAAGGGGTGAATATCCTGATCCTAAAATAAAAAAGAAGAGAAAAAAAAAACTGCAGCAAGAAAGGAAATATAAATTAAAAATAAAAGAAAGCTTTGAGAGAAAGACATGCAAGATTAGGATGCAAAAATCTATGCAATGTCATCAGCATGGGCTTCTCTGAAGCTCAGAGTCATAGCAGACCTACTTTACAGTGAATTTGGAAGGGGCAAATGGATTTGATAATGAAGTGAAATAGGAAATTTCTCTTGGTGCTCCTATTGGAATGTTAAGTGGCACGTGCCAAGTCACAGCTGCTCTGTTACAGCAACCATGTAGGTGAAATGCTGAGCAGGGAGAGCAGAGCAGGCACAGGTGAGGGGGCTCATCAGAGGTTTCACTATAAAGTGGTTCCATAGTGTCAATGGCAGTTAACAGCCATCAGGCCAAACAGCAAAAGCAAAATGTAAATAACTCAAGTCCAACCATCCTTAATGACCTGTAAGATCCCGACACCAAGAACAAGACACTGAGGTAGATGACCTGCAAACACAAGTTACACTCAAATCAAAAACACAGTTTGGTATCAAGCATTCTTCCGGCATTTTCAAATAAAGAGACAACAAAGCTCCATACTTTTAAAACCCTGTGCAATGGCTGAAAACTTAAAATAAAGGTAGAAGCTGCTTTCTAAAAATCAGAAATCAGCTGGAGCACTACTACTCAAATAAACCATCAATAAAACAAAGCAGTTGGCAAAAAAGCCTTCAAAATTCCTAAACAACACTTATTTAAAGTCAGCAACTACAGAGCATGAAGCTAATTTAAATTCTAGATAAATCTTTTCTACAAAGAAAGGCTCATACAAATTCCCACTCTGAGATATCCTTTTAAAAACCTTGTAAGCAATGGGCAGGTACTCAGGGGCCACAGGAGCTTCTCACATGGAATCTCCAGCTACAGAATTTAGGGTTATTTCATCACCATTTGCTGACATCTGAGACTATGGTCTGTACAAGCTGCTGCTTAAAATTAGACAAAATTATTTAATTCATTCACCTCAATAAGCTACTGATTTCATGTGCAAAGCATGCAACTGTTCAGCAGAAATCAAACCCAAGAGTTTGATTTCTGTCAACATTTGTCTACAGATTCCATTTCTTATTAAAAAAAACCCAAAATATCTGCCCAGAAAATGGTGAAACGTGGGTTTCTTATTCTGCCAGACTCAAGAAAACCCAGCCCATGTATCTGCAGCTGGTCCACGGGAGCACTTCCCCTGCACTGGATCATTGGGAATCCCTCCACCAGTTTGAGCTGGGACCTGAAGAAGTGAATTTCCTCTGAAATTGAGGGACTTGTACGCAATGAAGTCTTTCTATCACTTAAAATAATTTCTCTGGATTTTGAATATTTATTGTTGAGGTTCAATTTTGATACCTAAACACTGACATCTGAGAGACTTCTGAACATAAAAACAAACTTTGCACTTTAAATCTGACTGCATAGCAAAAAGAGCAAAGGGCTCTTCCTGATCCCTAAGGGCTTCAGGAAGGCCTTGATATGTAAATGAATACTTTTTTAAGCATCAATTTTTCTGCCAGAAATTGGAACACTCTTAGCTAATCACTCACTTTGAGGGCTATAAACTGTTACCTCAGTGTTATCACCAATAATTCTCCAAATTTTAGTGTGCATTTTAGACTTTAGCATTCAAAATTAGTAAATCTTAGAATTATGTGAGCTCTTATGCATTTGCCTTTCCTTAGACAAGAAACGATTAAACGCTCCTGACAGTTTTCTAAGAAAAACTGGCCTTAAAGAGTTATTCACTGCTTTTGTCCAGAAACAAGGCTCTCCTGATGGAGCTCAACATCTCCCATTTCCAGCTCATTTTCTACCTCAAAATGAGAAGCCAGTCATATCTCTTTCCTAACAATCAGTGTTTTCTTAATAAACACAACAGGCTTGGCTTAGAGAGCCATGGAAGAGGCGTTGCCAGTTCATCTCCAGTTTCTCAGGCACAATTCAAAGCATTTCTGCCTCACATATACTGAAAACTGGGCTAACAAGCCATATAAGGACATTGTCCATGCTAAAATTATCATAGCTGGTTCCTGCCAAAAATAGGTGCGGACTTTGTTCTGGCAGATGTCAAGCAAAACACATGAAATAAAACTTTAAATTAAAGATTAATCTATGGATTTACACAATTCTGTTTATGTCAGGAAAAAAAAAGATTTCTTCATTCACAAAATAAATTTTTTTTCTCTATTGCAGAGGTTCACTTGTACAGTTTGATGGCAAGATCAGGGCACAAGAACATAGTGCCAAGCCAGGCACTGCATACACATGAACAACACTTGACATGCTATATATAATTCCTTTGTAACAGAGAAAAAGAAGGAATATGACACAGAAGAGGCAAAGTTCTGGCACGGGAAACTGTGGTGAAAGCGACGGAAAACGAGAATTCGGTGCTGTCATTTCTATATCAGAATCCAGTGCAGCGACCCCGGCCCCGCTCCCGGCCCTGCCGCCCCTTCCTCACCCTCGTACTCCAGGCTGGCCCCGGCGCCCAGGGCGAGCAGCGCGGCGAGGCGCAGCCAGCAGCTCCCCATGCTCCTCACGGCGGCTCTGCCCGGCCCGGGGCTCCAGCAGCAGGAGGAGGAGGAGGAGGAGGAGGAAGAGGAGGAGGAAGAGGAGGAACAGGAGGAAGAGGAGATGGAGATGATTCTCCGAGCGGCTCCCGCCGGCACTCCGGTGTCCCTGTGCCGGGTGTTGTCCCCCCCGAGGGGCTCCCGCTGCCCGGTGTCCCCCGGGACTCCCCCTGTGCTGTCCTGGCCCGCAGGGATGTGCGGGATCCCCGCCTGGTCCGTGAGCCGGCCCTGCTGTGCCAGCCCTGCCTCAGCCAGGGCACCGAGGGGCCGGGACTGCGTGCCCGGCCAAGTGACATTCCACAGCATCACAGAATGTACTAGGCTGGAAAAGACATCATCGAGTGTGACCTGAGACCACCATGTCAACTATAACACGGCACTGAGCGCCACGTCCAGTCGTTCCTTAAATACCTCCGGGGAAAGTGACTCCCCCACCTCCCTGGACTGCCCGTTCTGATGTGTCATCACCCTTTCAGTGAAAAAAAAAATTTTCCTAATGCCCCGCCCTGGTGCAACTTAAATACCACGTACTGCCATCCTATCGCTTGCTGCCTGGCGGAAGAGATCTCGTTTTGTTATGCCTCCTTTCAGGAGTCCTAGAGAGCAACACGGTGCCCACTGAGCTCCTTTACTCCAGGCTAACCCAGCTCCCTCAGCCGCTCCTCACAACTCCTGTGCCCCAGAGCCTTCCCAGCACAGTCCCCCTTCTCTGGACATGCTCCAGCCCCTCAATGCCCTGGCTGAATTAAAGGGTCCAGAACTGGTCACAGCACTCGTGGGTGCCTCACCAGAACAGGAGGACAATCTCGGCCCTGGTCCTGCTGGCCACACTATTGGTGACACAGGCCAGGTGACACTGGCGTCCCCTGGGCACACATGGCTCATGTTCAGTCACTGCTGACCAGCACCTCCAGGTCCTTTACCTCCAGGAACCTTTCCAGCCACTCTGCCCGTAGCCTATAGTGCAAAGATCACCACATTTCCAACTTTTTTAATGCTGCTGGGAAATGGAGAACAGCAAAAAAACCTAAAAATACAGCAATAATAGCCAATTTCAGTTGCATGATAGATTTCAGAGAATAACAAAAAGGAAGAGAGCAAAATGAAAAACAACAAAAAAACCAAAAGTCACCTCAAAACTAAAATGACACTGTGTCTTGAGCACACAGAAACAACATGAATTAAATGAACCTAGGTGGCATCTTCTGTAGTCTGCAGACTACAGAAAAACCAAAAGCCACCTCAAAACTATGACAGTCTTGAGAACACAAAAACAACATTAATTAAATGAACCTAGGTGGCATCTTCTGTAGTCTGGCTATTCTTGGTACTGGGAGGAAAGAGAAAGCTCCTTTCACATTTAACCTATCCTTCAAATCAGAGACAAAGTGCCTGGGAATTCCTCCCATATTCAAAAAGTTCATCAGTTTAACCATGTGTAAAAAGAGAATGACCAGTTTCCACCAGTAAGTTTGCAACATCTGGATTTAGTTCCTCCAATGTTTTGCCTCAGAGTTTTACATTCCACAATATCTGAAGGCAAATCAAATATGTAAATTTAAAACCTTAACTCCACTGCAGCAAACTGAAGAGCTTCTTGGACAATGGCACGGCTAAGGTCACTCTAAGACCTCAGAAGTCTGGAAGAAGCACATGATGGGGCAGAAAAGGCAAAAAATGGTTATGATGTTCACATTTTGTGTATAAAAATACTTGCACTCATCTTTATGATGGTACTAAAAATGGAAAGCTGGGTTTTTCATCTCATTCTTTACTGGCTGAACATTACACCCCAGAGGTCTGCAACGTTCATGTCTAAAAACCATTTGCTTCGGTGGGACTGCAGTATTTCTTTAAAAACTGCCTGCACAGTTAGGTGTTTTGTTGCATCTGGTCTATGAAGCCTTATATATATTTTTTTGTTGTTCTTGGTGCTGTTTTATAATAGAAATCCTACAATCATGGAAGGGTTTGGGTTGGAATGAACTTTAAAGCATTGAAACACAACCATTTTGTATGCAGCAGTAATTGTGCTAAACTGAGAAGCAGAGGATATCAAGAAAATCATGGCATGGTCCTGAATGCCAGCCAAGTTAATAATCTTATGTGCAGTTTATTAGCCCAAATGAATAACTTCCAGAGATGTTTAAGCATTTCCCTGCTCATACATATGGAAATACACAGGTGTATAGCACAGATTTGAGTTTCCATGCACAGCCACGTGCACCGCTGTGCTTCTATTCCTTGCAGGTGTAGAGCCTTTCAGGCTCAGAAAACAATCCTACACCAAGAGGATCCCCTCAGGGCTGTACACAGATTAATTCACTGTGTCTCAGTATTGACTAAGATGCAAACACCATGTTTTAGTGCACAGGTTTTAACTT